TTTCTTTCATTAAGTAAATCCATGTCATTCTTGAACAATCATCAATAAWKGAGAMAAAAWASKTGTACCCAWTATAAGACTCTATTTTGATTGGACCCCAAACATCTGAATGAACCAAAGAAAAAGGACTCGACATACGACCCTCAACTCTTGGACTGAATGACACACGACGATGTTTCCCAAACTGACATGACTCACATTGCAAAACTGACAAATGACTCAAAGACGAAACCAATATCTTGAGAGCCTTGAGAGATGGATGTCCTAGTCGGCAATGCCATTGTAGAGGAATAAGTGAAGTCTGAAGAGCAATTGAAGATCCACCACCGTCAAGATAATACAATCCACCAGCTTCATGCCCCCCCACCAATCTTCTTCCCCGTCGTGAGATCCTGAAAAACACAAGTGGAAGGAAAGAAGGTAACAGAACAGTTAAGAGCTTTGATTATTTTACTAACAGATATAAGATTAAATGGAAACTTAGGTACATATAAAACAGATGATAAGGACAGAGAAGCCATGTCAACATTACCAACACCACAAATAGGAGATGAGGACCCATTGGTGAGTGTAACAATTTGTGATGTGGAGGTTTCAGAGAGAGAAGAGAACACACCTGGAGTCCCAGTCATGTGATCAGAGGCTCCAAAGTCAATAATCTAGGGAGAGATTTTAGATGACATGCAAGCAATACCTGAGTGGGCAAGTGTGGCAGTGGTATATTGTGAAGTGGTTTTAAGGAACCGTTCATACTCATCACGCGGTACACTCACCATCTCCCTCCCAGAAGTAGATGTAGATGTGGGAGGAGTTCGGTCTGCCTGTTTACTGTCACTGATATCAATCTCACCTGCTACAGCATGATTAGCCCATTTAGAGGGAGGGCCATGTAGGTCATAACAGAAATTCACTGTGTGTTCTTCCCTGCCACAATGAGTACACTTCCTTGCAGAGTTATTCTTCCCTCTGCCACAGCCTCCCCCTAAGTCATGACCACCTTGACCAATCATGGAACTGCCACGGCCTCCTCGGGAGGCATGTCCTCCCCCTCTTGTACTGTGTCCACCTCCTCTAGCTGTCACAAGTGCTGATCTATCAGACTGTGTGGGATTCTCTATTTGTCCCAAAGAAATTCTACGAAGCCGTGAGAATACTTCCTCAAGTGTAGGAAGGGTAGAGCTCCCCAATATTTGGGCTCTAACTGGTTCATACTCCGATTTCAGCCCCACCAAGAATTTTGTAACATCTAGTTGTTCCCTTTGTTGTTGCTAAACTTTAATATCTGGAGTGAGGGGATGATAGACATTGAGTTCATTCCTTATATTCTTCATGCAGGCATAGTACTCTTCTAGTGTTTTGTTTCCTTGTTGCAAATCAAAGTACTCCTGATAAAGTTGATATACTCTTGTATTATCTTGTCCAGAATACAACTTCTTA